GTACATTATCATTGGATTTGCCTTTCTCTCTTTGCTGTTGCATGGCTAATAGAGTTTCATGTGCCCCCTCACATCCTCCCCATTTAGCATCTTTTCTCTACAGAAGCATGCACCCTACTGTGCCAATCCACACTTCAAAGATTTCTGTCTATCTATTAGAAACAAAGCACAAAGTGAGAACATATGGCCCCTTTTAAATTTCCCACATTTAAGTCAATATCGTTTCTTTTCTCCTTTGGCAAAGAAACATAATAAGGTTTATCTTCTCCCTTCCTAAATCTGCTGGCTCTCTCAAACTGCTTGTGCCAATTCAGCAGTTACTTTGCAGCATCAGACTTGGCAGCACATATGAAAACAAAATCTCTAATTTTTTAAATTGCTTTTATTTCTCCAGATCAAGAAGATTCATTTAAATGATGAAAAAGGACAAAATGTAACTGCACACTTTCAGATAAGTGGATTTTAAACCCATGAAAGGGCACAGCAGAGTCTTGTTCAAGTTCCTTTCATAGTGACATCTTTCCAAGCATTTCCTAAAGGATGGATGAGCATTTTGGAATCCGAGGCCATACTGAGTATGAGCATTCACTTCACACATGTCCCAGAGCATCCACAGAAACCCTCTATTATGGCATTAATGGGAGTAGTTAGGCAGTAACAAGATGCTGCAGCCTCTCTTAAGGAAAAGGAATAGTTACTTGCCTCAGAATCACTTCAGTTCTTCAGTTTCCTCTGCTGAAGTCACAGACATAGAGAAAGTAGCTCTTGTGTGCCTGGAAGCAGAAATTTCTGGCCATTTATTCCATCCTCAAGGAGATGGCTAACAGGACAAGCAGACTTAGCTCACAGTGAGTTTCTGGACATTAAAAACAGCGCCTACATAAAAAAAAGCTCCAAGTTAACTTCTTTAGCTCACATTAGAAAGATCAGCAACCCCATAAGTAGTATCCTGTGAATGCTGCCTACCTAATTTGTGATTTAATTATAAAGGATTAGGTTGCAGGTATGATGTTTTTAGCAGGACGAGAAATGAAAGTCTTGCCCTGCTCCTGGAAACACTGTGGTTTACTGCTTTAATTCATCGTCTCTAGCTAAGATGACTCCAAGTTTCATACTCCTAAACTGTCAACTTTGTAATCTTTAATTGATTTTAGCATCCATTTATTGGACCAGGAAAATCCTTATAAAAACCTATCCTTGATCAGTGCAAGCTGTGAGTGCCCCAGGGCCCCGATTCTAAGAAGGCATAAATTGAAGTACCTCTGTTTACATCTGCCAATCCAGTTAAGCCACACAAAGTTTCCATTGAAACTCACAGAAGTTACACGTGCAGAGCCATTGAGGGATATGGCCTTAACAGATGGCATGGCCAAACGGCAAGGAGTGTGATTAAAGACATCAAAAGTAAAAAATATTCCCTGAGAAGGCTGTAAAGAGAGAGGAGGAATGTGAGCCCCACAGTGCTGTTTTTTGCTTCCCTTCATACTTTTGCACTTACTGGAAACTCCAAGTCTCTTTAATTGAGCTTTTCCTCCCTTCCACTCCTTGTAGGGTGAGGGGGTTAATTGCTGCAGACTGAAACATTGCAGTTTTCATTCTCCTGCTTACTACTGGCACGATGAGTGTGCAGGAATGCCTTGGGCATGCAGTGCACAGATGTGCATGCAGCAGTTGGAGCAAGGGTGGAATAAATACCTCCAGCCTCTATGGCCATGGGTGTCCGTAAAGCGCTTTATCTGTGACTTTAAATATCAGCACTGGCCAAGTGAGACCTTAATGCTAATTGCCATGGCATTTCACTGTTTATCTTAGTTGAACTAGCATTACCAGTCCTGGTTGTTAACAACCTCAAGTGGCACTTTATTCATCTATCAACAGTCTTATCCTGTGAACAAGCAAGCAAAGAACTATAAACACCCACTCCAAAGTCACTTTGCAGGTTTAAACTAAAGCCCTTGGAAAAAGGCCTTTCACAGAACTCCAGTGAGAACAGACAAAATACAAGCTTCAAAACAACATTTTAATCTACAAAGTTTTATTTGTCTTTTTAAACTTGTAAACCATAAAAAGAGCTTATCAAATATCTGAAATTAGTACAAGAAAAAATGATGACTTATATAGCAAACTGCATTTGAAGGTCCAAATTCAAAGACATGCATGGGGTTCTCCTGGTTTCCATTTGTGAAGCTAGAGACAAATTTGGCCCAGTTAATTAGGTGTTTTATTAAAAAATTCACAAAGCCTTAATGTGCTTCACTGAACAAATAGAGCAGAATGGGAACGATTAAGTGCACGAATAAGCACTCAGCACCAGAGGATCTGAACCCGGTTTTCATTCGTAAAGTACAGGCTAACCAAAATAGCACATCTCTTAGCTAGGAACAATTACAGGCTTGCTTTGCCTACATGGACTAGGCACTCAAAGGAAGACACCAACTCCACTTCCTAAGCACTTTGCAAAACAAAACATACAAAGACTCAGAAAGCACAGTGCACATAATTATCAATACTCCTGATATTGTTAGATTAATTCCTGCCCATTTCCAAATTTATAAAGCCCCTCCACACTGTCTTCAACATTCTTGTGAAACTCCTGGAACTGTCTACTCTCCAGACCTTGAAATACCAGGCCAACGAGACAGTTAGTGTGATCCAGTCTGCAGTTTCTTGTGACATCAGGATTAGATTTGGTGTCAGTAGACTTCCGAGGCAAAGTTAGTGCTTCGCAGTTAGAAAACAGGGTAGACATGGAAGCTTTGGGCAACGTTTAACCAACTTGTTTGTAATCAAGAAGAGAAGGATCTGATGCTCTAATTCAAGGTGAATACTAAAGAATATAAAAAACATCTATAGAAGAAAAACCCCAGGTAATGCAAAAACCTCCCTCGACTTGGACTGGTACTCGGGAACCCAGGGCAGCGTTTCTCATTCTGCCATGCCAATGAGCCCCAGTGACTATGCACAACTTTCCTGCTTTGCGCCTCCCACTGCACACTGGAGATGGACCTCTTCTAGAAAGTCTTTCAAGTTTCCCCTGTGAAATCTATTCTATGAGCTATTATTGCTGTTTTGTGAGCAAAAATGTACCACAAGAGATTCATAAAAGTAGTATGAATGTAGCTTCTACATACAGTATTTTTTTCCTGCCTCCTTGCTGTTTTTTCCTCCACTGGTAGACCATCCTTTGCTATTCTCACACTTCACAAATCTTTCCATCCTTCCTTTGTCACTCCTTCTTCACAGCTCTAAACCTCACAGTAATCCATATGTATAGTCCTTAAGTCCTGCTATTTTAAAACAAAGAAATTAGAAGAACTCATCCATATCATTTCTATCACTTTAGCTCAGTAGGATTGAATTGTCTAGAATTATATAGAAATACAGAAGTAAATTAACTCATCATTGAAAACCTCTCTATTTAATAACTGCAAATAAGATGTAGTATAATGCCTACTGAATAATTTCAATAGAATGTTATTTGCTTTTCTAAGTCTGTTTCTTTTAGCCCATTTTTAGCACATTTTAAATGTATACAAGTAAAAAAAGATCCTAAACATCCCTCTTCCAAGTCAAATCAACCAAACAGTTGCTAAGTATGTGAAGAAAATAAATAATTATGTGATAAATTGTGGGTGGTTTTGCAGCTAAGTGCATGAGAGAAGAAATCTTCTTCCAGAAGTTATGCAGAAAACATATGAAGGCCAATTTTTATTTCATGGATTGTCTAACAAGTTTCTGCTTGGTAGATTAAAAAAAAAAAAAAGCAGTCTGATAATGAACATGATGCTGAATACAAGTTAGTTCCCACTGAAACCGTAAATCACGTTTGGAAATGTATTTTCAGATTTTGATGAATTGCATCAAGGTAATTAAAGGTGAGAGTTGATTAGCTGACATGTTTCCAAACATGAACATTCTTGCCTACACTCCAGGCAAAAATTATGTTAAATGTTTTTGCAGATTTTCTAGCACGATGAATTTTCCCAAGTGTAACTGTGCCCCAAGGGGCCTAACTTTCTTGTTAATTGGAATACAAATGAAATCTGTCACTCAATAATTGAGGTACACAACGACATGTGAAGAACAGTAAGCATTCATCATATCTATATAATTATGTGGCAACACTTAGACTGTTGAGCAAACACAGTAGTTACCCATTAGTAAGAGATCACCTCTGCCAGAGTATGTTCTGGGGCATTCACTGACTTCTGACAGAGGATACCTTTTCGTACAAACACATACATATCACTTCCTCTAAGTTACTTCTCCAGCTGTATTTGCTGTTCTGTGCTCATGCTGACTAGGGTAGGAAGGCAGCCAGAGGGGTCAAAGATAACGTGGCTTGCAGGGTTTGCCTGAAGTGGGTGGTCTGCTGCTACATCAGGAGAGCCTGTACTTCAACCATGGGCAGAACTGGGTCTTAGTTTCTGTTAGTGAATAAATGATGGCTGGATGTCTGAAAGACATTTGGAAGTGCTTTATGATACGAATATAAAGCACAGTACTTCTGCTCATTTTAATCAACTTACCAGCTTGATCTCTTATACGTCTCTATTTAATATCAGCTATTACAAAACCATCAGCAGTAAGATGCATAAAAAGTAAATACTGAAATCACTGCCTGCACATTAAACCTACAGTACTGGAATGAAATTATGGGCACCCTGAAGCCAGTGACAATCTGGTAGTTTTACCAAAGATTTCACTGGGACAGAGATTTTACTTTGCTACCCTTAGCTTTGTTCACTTTGCATGAGGTACTCTTGAAGTTGTGGGAAGAGCTTAGCAATCCTTATTTTAGAAAGCTTGGTTTTCTCAAAATTCTAAGTAGCAGAGCAAAATTTTTCAGCTGAAATGTTCATTAGCAAGCAGAGCAAATTTGGGGATTGCCTTCATTTTGCTGAATTGTTTTACTTAAAAATAGAAAAAAGTGAGGGAAAAGGCTGCTGTTTTTGTTTGAAATCGCTTAATGCCATTCCATTTTATTTTCAAATAGTAACAACATACTAAACTCTATTTTTTTCTCCTTGGAAATTAAATGTTTTGTTTGACCAGAAACTAAACTCTTTTAATTTTAGATTTGGCCACAGTTTTAACCCCTCTCACTCAAACTATAATTTGTTAAGGTTTTCAGAATTAAAACCAACCTGAAAAATCAGTTACATGACCCAGCTCTAATAGTAGGGGACAAGAAATTTAATTTTTAAAGTTAGCACTTTAATTATAAAGCCAAAGCATAGCAAGTCCATACCTCATGATCTGATCCTATTTCCAAAAACGTTAATGCAAGCTCTTTCATCAGTGAGATCTGCAAGCACTGACAGCAATTGCAATAAGCTCCTGAAATCCACGAGAAGAAGAAGGAAATATACTTTCTGAACTAGTAAAACTTTAATGAACAGGGGGTTCTCTTGGCACAGTTTTTGCTGTTAAATAAATAAAGCATTTAGTCAAAACCATCTATATTTACTATACAAAATACTGAAAAGCAAACGTTTTAAAAGATACGGAAAGTTCGGGTTCTGTGAAAAGAAACTGTGCTACATGTTACTCACACTTAATGCACATAACACAACTGCAGAACAGTATTTAGATACTGCATGTTCATACATGGCCGGTGTAAAGTTTTAGCATGGGGATGCCACGTTATTAGCAGATTGTATTTCACAGGATCTAAACAAGGCAGAATGTGTCTTTTGAATCTCCAAATATAAAACACCAACCAAATTAAAGCAAGGCTGTATTCAATGGCCAAGTTGTGTTACATTCCAAAGCTCACTTGCACAGCTAGTACTGCACACTTCTCATTCAGATGGAATTTTGTTGTTGGTGCTGTTATCTTTTCAAGCAAAATTATCTTTGAGTGAGCGGGCCTTTATGCCCCTTTGCAGCCCTTTCTTAGAAAAACCTACAGCTCTGAGAGCATTCTAGTTTTCCAGAACATTTTCTGGTTTTCAGCAATGGTCTGCATTAGAAAAATTGACAAGGAAATAACTCCCACCTCCCAGTCTTTCTGACATATGTCCCACTGAAAAGAGAACAGCTTTACGTATGTTTTCAAAACAAATAGCATGGCATCCCTCCTTGGATGGAATGTACACTTGTGTGTTTGCATGCGGTATAACGTAAGTCACTCGAATACATCAGACTTTGTTAACACTATAATATAAATAAGCTTATTCCTTCTACTAGACATATAAATGCCTTTTTTTTGCAGTCCATAATTATATATACATTGAAAAGAATGATATACAAGCAGCAAAAAAGGCTTAGACTAGAACAACGCAGTGGTAACTAACCAAATTTGTGGCCTTTTCACGTTTTCAATACAGAGAGTTCTGAATATAAATATTTTTGGACTTTAGGAATTTAAAAAATAAACAGAACAGTATAGTTGTCACACAGATCAAACACATTTTCAAAACATTTTTTTAGATTTAACAGAATACACTGTTGACAGCTTAAAAAAAAAAAAAAAAAAAGCATTTTTTTTTTAAAGAGGACAAGAAGCCCAAACTACTGCTGATTCAGGGAGACAAAAGATGGACTTATTTACCAAGAAGCAGCGATCCTACTCCCATTCCAAAAGAAGGCAAAGCCTTCAACTTTTTATGTAAAAGTTGACGTCTCTGCGTTCTGAGGAAGGGCGACATCCCTCTAAATGTGGTCAGCAGTTCTGGCCAGCACTCCTTTTTGGACTGATCAACTCTAGTCAGTGAAAAGATAATCATGAAGGGCTTATAACAATGTGGGATAGTTACATTTTACAATATATACTATAGACAAAATACCACAACATTTAAAATAATTAAAACCAAAAGCAAATATGTTTGATAGAACAGTTATATTTTTATGTGAGGAGTTCCCTACTTCAAAGTACCAAAAGCAATGTAGGTGATTTTCAGTCACTTTCTACCTGCAAAACAGTGAACTTTATAAAACCCAACCAAATGTATTATAAAGCTGGGCCCCACAGAAAGTAAATCTTGACTGCACTGACCCTTTTTTCCACTTTTACAATTTGCTTTTGACTTTCAAATTTCTCAGCAGCCAGTACGGTCTTCTGAGCATGGTCTCATTCTCCCTCATAGAAAGGAAGCTCTTTGATATGAAAAAAATAGAAGAGGCCAGAATGACTGTGAAAGATCTTTTTTTACATGTTGAATTGTCTCTAAAATGGGAGAATCACAAATTGCTAGGTGCTGCAGAAATTTAAATTGGAGGCACCTATGAAAGTGCCATGTTACGTTTTATAATGTCACTGTTACTGAAAAAAATCATAATGTTAATACTCAAACCACAGATCTCTAAAACACAACAAAATGTACCTGAGAGTGTGCATATTTATATATATATATTTATATTTATATCTTATATATATTTGCCAACATTTAAAGTGAGAAAGTATATTTTCCTCAATTCTTTCTCAAAACAAAGAACTGTGGATTTAAACAAAACAAAAACCCCAGATAACCCCTCTGCTTCCCAAACCCCCATCAATTGTACTTATGGCCCAAGCACTAAAGTTTAGTGATGGTTTTGAGAACACCATTTCACATCCTCCTCTTTTCAAATGGTTACCCCAGACAGAATGGAGAGTAAGCAAGAGAAAAAAAAAGTGTATTTAAATACTACTCAGTACATAACAAACTGTATTTGTGTCAGTGAAGAATCTCAAAGAAAATAAAGTGTAAGTTGTACAGATGTAGCTCTGTTGACAAGTATAGCTAATATTTCCATGTAATTAAGATAATTTGAAAGGATGTGAACACAAACAGGCTACACCAATGCAGTATATTAAAATTCCCCCTGTAGCACATTACAATCAATAAAAAGAAAATAAAATCTGAATAATACTAGAGGTAGCAGCTGTTTGTATTTTCTGTTATTCTGAGCATCTCTGGAGTCCAAAACTTCGAACATTGCTCCCCTGATAAAAGGCTTGTGTGCGATCAGCCGACATACAGCAAGCAGACTGGTAAGCTAGATGTCTGCAATAGTGTTTGAAGTATCTTTCCTTCTACAATGGAAGTAGTACTTGTAAAGAAGTGCGTTGACGACCTGCATTAAATCACAGCTCAAAAAGCTATGGCTGTTTGCTGTTTTACAAGCCACTTTAAAATAAAAATCCACAAGTTGTTTAAGTAAGCTATGCAGTTCCACAACATATAAATAGGGTGAGTTTCAAGAGTTCCATATAACCTCTAAAATAAATGCTAGCTGAATATTAATGGAGTAACAATAATATTAATCAGTAATGCCTTAGTTCTGGTGTCACAAGAACGTGCTTCCTTCATATGGGATGATTCCTGGAGGATGTTGGTGGGATCTGTTTTATGTCTGGTAGAAGTGATGGTAGTGGTGGTGGTGCTCGTGGTGGTGGTGGTGTTCATGTCTCTGTATCATTTGTCCAACTTGACCTTCATATAGAATGACTGTTGGCAGGTCTCTCACATGTTCCTTTTCTACAACTGTCCCTGGAGACTGGAAGGTTTTGCACATTTGGTGATTCTCCTTTGCTCTCTGCTTATGCTTCTTGTGAACCTGCTGAGACTGCAAGGGGAGATAAGGAAGATTCTGGCCCACCCGTGCACTTGGGGAGGCCATTGGCATGGCCCCTGCTTGAAAAGGTTTATTTCTTACTGCCCTTCCAGAATGCACAGGAGCAACATTTTTACCCTGGGCCTTGGGAGATCTCACAAAGTGCTTGTTTGAGTCCTGGTTCCGGAGCCTCTGTTGGATTTCTGCAATCTTGGCATAAGAACTCTCAGCCAGATTGATGTGGCTTGGATCCACCACTTGAGATTTCCTATGGTGGGCATGGAAGGTTTCAGGTTCGTGGGAACGGGATCTAGTTTGACTCACAACTCTGCTTGGTGGGTCATGTTTTTGAACTGCTGGAGGAGAACCTAGAGAATAACAAGCTGGATTAGTCATCTAGTATTTCAGAGTTTTAATTAGTAACATACAGTTGGCAGGGATAGCATTATCAGCAGAGTGAATTTTTCCTAAGGAAGTAAATGCAATTATAACTGTCTAGTTTAACTGCATTTAATAATTTTGATTGGTAAATAATACACACACATATATCTTCATATGTAAACATATATTCCATTATATGTATTTAAAAGTTCTTGCATTTCATTCTCTTCCATTCATCTATTTGAAATGCACCAAAATAACTATGAGCAGAACAGTAAGAACTTGACAGAGGGCAGGGGGAAGAGAGGAAATCCAAATTACTTTAACTGGGGAACCGAAAGCAAAATTCCAGATATGAACCCATATTCTCTGATTTTTTGGTCTGTAATGAGTACAAAAAAAACTTCCAAATATATGCTGGTATCATCTTGAGAATGACCTCTACTATCCAAAAATCAATCCTCACCTCACCCATAGACTAAACTTAATAGTTCAGATACAAAGATTGTTCTCCTAGGCTCACCTCCAAGTTTACCTACACAAACAAGTACTTCAAAGCAGGCTTGCAGCACATTAACCACTCCATTGTGATTCCACCTTGCAGCATTCGCACAATTTTTTCCTTCAAAATTCCTTTCCCCTGATGTGGAACATTCAACTAAAGAAAGAAAAGACCAAAAGCTTGCAACATAAACTACCAAATTACCTGGCCCAAACTTTGATGTGTAGTTTTCTATTCCTGCAAGATCCAAATAGTGGTTTCTCCTTTCAATGTTCTCATCAACACAATGACGATAGCACTCACTTTGCTCTGGATTGTTCTCACTCTGGTGATATCTGTCAGCAGAAAGCAAAATTACAATTCAGCAGAAGTTCTTTATTGTTGTTATCACCATCTGCAAATCAACAACTAATGGCCTCTTTGAAGTGACAGGAGCCGCTCACAAAGAAACAACAAATGCTTGAAATTCTGGGTGACCAGATTTGCTAAGTTGATAGGCTTGAACTGGCTGTTCTTTCCTCTAATATAAATTGACCCAGATGTTGCAAAGCAAAGGAGGCTTTCCAATTGCATCACACATACAAAACCAAATAAAAATGCTTCAGGGATTTATTACATTCTATCTTAGAGCCAAACCATTCAACTGATTCTCTAATCTGGATATGCCTGCTGTTCGATTCACCTCTGTCCCCACCACTGTTAGGAAGTGTGAGCACTGGGGGAAGCCTTGTGTCAAATACACACTTGTGTATCTGCTTCAGAAAGACAAGCAGCAGGTGTTGTAACTAGAGAGAATCTGGGGAGAAGAGGTGTTGGTAGGACACCTGGAGATAACTGCTGCTTTCCAAAACACAAATAATAGGGTCAGATCAGCCACTGGCTCCAGAATCTCAACTCCTTTTCCTGCTCAGCTTTGCAATTTTATTTATAGCAGAACTATTTCCTGTGAATGAATATCTGAAATACCATTCATTTATGAGACAGAAAAAAAGTCAGCTAGAGATTTATAGTTGTCCAAAAATTTAATTTCAGCAGTTTAAGTGGATGTTTGCAGATATGAGCAATGTATCTTCAATATAACAAATAGGACAAGAACTGCACGTCATTCAGATACTTCACTTCAAAGACCACAAGATGCTCTGCTTTTTCATATACTCCATGTGACTGCAGTGATGTCAGCCCAAGACTGGAATTTGTTCTTGCATCTTATATGAGTTGCTAAGTACAGGTTCCATTCTATATGGTAGCAAGTACTCAGTTTCCAGATTTCCAGGCGTTACTGGAAATTGCTCTTTGGCATGAACTGCTTTCCTGGTCTAGGGTCACACTATTCAGGACATTACAGAACTGAGTTCCTAGTGTCTGTGTCATACAGAGGTCTTCAGGTTCTTTGGTGAATGTCATAAGACTTGACCTACCTGGAAAATAATTTGGTAGAGGTAGAGTCTCCTGAATGAAGGAGAGCCTTCCTGGAAAGCAGCTAAGCTGTAAAGACTGAGTCAGCTTTGAATTTCAGAAGTGACATGTGGTACTGTCAAAAAAGAGGGAATGTCCAGATGCTCTTTATTTTTCTAGATAGGTTGCCAGCTAGGTACCCTACCTGCAAAGACACCTTAAAGGTTGTTACTCTTTAGCAAATCAACTTAAGAGATCTCTGGGGTAGAACTTGGCTAACTGATGTTGCCAGGTTGTCTATAGAAACTATCAGCACAACACAATACAAGCACTGCAGACAGTGCACAATCAACCCTCAAAAAAACACTGTTGGGTTTGATCCAGCACATTAAGTAACACTGCACACAGCACTGTCTGTTGAAAACAGAATTAACAGAAAACCTGTTTTTTTTTTTCTTGTAATAAATTCCATCTCTCATCAAGATATTGAAGAAAAGCTATGCCAGTACTGCCACAGCCCTCCATTCTAATAGCTTTCTTGCATGCAAGATGGTGTTCAGCAATACAAATACACACAGCAAAGCAATTATACAGTGATGAGAGATGTGCTTCACTGTCAGAGAGAACTAAAAGTACGTCTGAGAATGGAGCCATCTGGCACCCAGCCGCACTGTGCTCTTCTGCTTGTGTATGGGAATATCCAGGCATGCATCAAGCATGCATCACACACAGTGTAACAATACACGTTTCTGCTACTGATAAAGAGGGTAGATTTCAGCTGGATATAAGGAAAGTCTTCCACAGTGAGGGTGGTGAGGCACTGGAACAAGTTGCCTGGAGATGTGGTGAAAGCCTCATCCCTGGAGACTTTCAAGGCCAAGCTGCACCAGGCTCTCAGCAACCTGATCTAACCGTGGATGTCCCTGTTCACTGCAGGGGAGCTGGACTACGTGATCTTTAAATGTCCTTTCCAACTAAGGATTCTGTGATTCTATGATATATATTTGTTTTTAATAAAAAAAGGCATCTATTTAAGAATTGTGGAGTGTATGAAAGCTCTGTCTAAAATTCCCACACTGTACTGTCATTCTAATGGTAAGTATACAGCAACACAGTGGGTAAATGGAATAGAGTGGTGACAGAGTTCTGGGCAGAAAAATGCAGAGACATTTCCTGAAAGCCACACTCACAGATAACATACAGCTTAGAGCAGCCAGGGATAAATCAAGCAGGGAAGAAAGAGTGAGAGAGAATGTGCATCCATAGTAAAATTAAGATGTTTAGAGGCTGGTGTGCATCATATTTTCCATGTTGCACTAAACTGAACAAACCAGGGTGGCATCAGGATATCCAACTCACAGAGCTGCCTGCCAGCTCTCTTCCACCACCATTTTCTAACCTCACATGCCAGGCAAGCTAGCTATGAATGTAGTTGCTTGATCTTGATACTTGCATCAGCCCTACGGGTGAAAACTTCTGCCTGTAGCTTCCAGCAGTTGAAAAATCTAACCCATTTATCTCCCACCTTCAGGATAAAAACATTCCTATCTTGAATATTAATCACATCTTGCCTAGAATTCCTAAGTGACTGAATTTGTGAAATGTGTGCACCTCTCACAAGTTCTCATTGCTGCTCTTGAGGGGAAGCTCCAGTGCTAATATCATGAGACAGTGATGAGGCTCAGCTTTCCTGACAGCAATTTAGCCAGAGTGCACCAATACCAATGCAGCACACACAGTGGCCAGACTTTTTGTCCTGTCGACATTTGATGAGATGGAATGAAAACTGTCAGATGTTGACAGTTGCCTGATGCTGCTCCACAAAGGTACATATTTGTGCACTCTAGGAAGCCTCCTACCACAAGGATGAGAAAGACAAATGCAGCAGGGCCAAGCATCTACCCTAATATTTGATGCCTGTGGATATGAATGAAAAGAGTGCCATTCCTAAAACATTTCCAAAAACAGGACTTTAAAGGTGGATAAGAGAGGGACTTGAAACTGAACGATGATTTTTGCAATAGATTATCAAAGAGTCCATTAAGTTTAAAGAGCAAATCTTTGTCAGTGGAAACCTAGGGATCACTTTTAGACCAGTAAGCAAAAACTTTCTGTTTACACTCAGTGCTCTTTATTTCATGAAAGATCTTGTACAGAGTTACTAACAGAAGTCATCTTTAATTCTGAAATTTAATCCAGCTGCCATTCACACAATGGAATAACTCATTAACATTTTCACTCTGTCCAGAAAAGGGAGGCACATTTTTGTTGTCATTTTTTAATAAAATTGAATGCTCTTTCTTCTGATAAATTTATCAAACTCAATACATTTTTTTTTTAATAAATATCCCTAAATCTAAGGAAAGCCAGAATTGATTTTTATTTTGCAGCGGAAGGAACAAATACAAATGCAATATGATTACTATGGCATTTCTGTAAATATTCTTGTCTTCCTTAGCATGAAGTAGAAAGTCCTAAATGAAACTGATACTATACACTGAAATGACCTATTTGGAGCAACAGATCACATTAAAATGCATCAGAATCATCTGCATTTGCTTTATTTTCCTACCCATTAAAATACCCAGTTCAGAAAAGGAATAGCACACCTACATTTGACTGAGAGACAAACATTTTTCCTAGCTGTAAAAAATTTAATGCTTGAAAAATACATTGCAAATGACTAGCATATACTCTGAAGTTCAGTGCCAGAAAGAAGTCACAACAACAGGGAGACAGATATTCTTGCCAGCCTTGCAAAAGGCATGATTACACATTTTCAGAAGAAAAAACCTGCTCAGGACTGGCATCCAAAATAATACTGTACATTCTGTTAGGAAAGAACTAAAAGTCCTTTTTTTGTCTGATCTCTAGATGGCTGCAAGTGTACCCACAGCTGTTCAAAAAAGAAACTACTGTGCTTGTGCTCTACTGGAAATGGATGCATTCTGGGGAAACGGCTTTAAACTAAAAGAGGTTAGATTTAAGTCAGATGTTAGAAAGACATTTTTTACTCAGAGGGTGGTGAGGAGGAATAGGCTGCTCAGAGAGGTTGTGGATACCCCATCTCTGGTGGCACTCAAGATGAGGCTGAAGGGATTTTGAGCAGCCTGAACTAGCGCACGGCAGGGGGCTGGAACTGGATAATCTTTCAGGTCCTCTCCAACCCAAGCCATTCTGTGATTCTGTATAAGTCATGCAGGCTGGATTCCATTGAAAAACAACAAACAGGCATTTTTTCAAACAGGCATTTTTTCAAGTAGTGATATGTTTTCTGAATTTCATGAATTAAAAAAAAAAAAAAAAAAGGAATGAAATGAAATGGTCCTAGTTTTCCTTCAAGATTACAATAAATGTATTGGTTCTAAGTCAGCAGGCTAATTCTTACACAAGTGATACTTAATAACTAATTCCATAAAGGAGCACCTGATATGGAAGTGGGGAAGCAGGGTTTGTGGCAAGTGGGAGTCAGCAGAGACAGCTACTCTGCTAAGAATGCTGAGATGAATTTTCTTCTACTGACTGCACAAACATACTCTGCCAGCAGGGCTGAGCCACACACAGCTGCTGTAACCAGAACTAGTGAAGCAGAAGGGAGCATGAAGCTAGCAGCATGCTGGAAGCTCTGGATGTTGCATACCCAGTAGGACATGCCCTATGAAGACTGCTTTCTGCAGAGCTGAGTCTGTCTGCTCTTCGGCTACGAGCTCCATTTTCTCCTCATTCTGCTCAACATTTCAGTGCCAGCTCAAAGCTGCTTCCTTCAGGAGGAAAGGCAGTAGGAGAAGTGGTTATGATCCACTGAGCAAAAAAGCCTGGATCTAATTGAACTGACCAGTGAAAAAGATGGGCTGAAAGGAGAACGGGGACAGGCAGGAGCTGGCATCTATGAAGATGAAAAGATTTCAGGACACTTTTAGCCAGAAGGCTGTATTGTATTGCTTAAAATTCACTAATAGGTACAGTATCTGCAGATAGCATCTAGAGAGACATTACATGTCCTCTGTGGAGCAGGCAGAAGAAAAAACAAGAAAAGAACTTTTCCACTTAAAAGAAAGAAACCTAAAATGTAAACAAAACTTTGTTGCTGCTTTTTTGTACAAAGTATTCACACATTGAAACTATCAGCTGCCTGTTCCAGGGAGAAAAAACACTCTAATGCTGCTGCTTTAATATTTTTAAATAAATAAATAAATACAAATTCATCAATAGTTGAAGATCCCTCAAAGCCACCCAGTTCCTCTCAGAAGGCTCATTTCTTTTCCCTTACCTGAGAGAAGCTCGTTGCTTCTTTTCAGAGCTTCTTAACTCTTCACTGGCTTTGCTTTCAGCCCTATGCCTTGCACTCTGCAAATCTGCCAGCAAGAAAAAAGACATTATTCTCACATTGCTGTCCTTCCTAATCAGTATAACTAACATGCTACATGGCAAATACAATTTTTCTAGTTCGTAGATCAAGATGTGATGCATCATTTCATAAAGCCTTCTTGCAAGTGCTTTTGCCCACAGGACATATTTTAAGCAGACATAACCTTGGCTGTAGGACATTAGTCAGGGTTGGGCTGAGGGCCATTTGGTTGGTTAAATGGAGCCACATTCACACTGATAAACTTGTCCCTCAGGAGGGCTTGGTAGTTTGGATTTCAATCTTGCACTAATGCATGACAAAGCTTTCCAGCAGTGCAAATTTTCTTACGTCTGCACTTGGCTGAGTAGATGTCTATATTAAAACCAAGATATCAAGGCTCTTATCCTGGATAAGGTGCTCCACATTTTTTACTGAAGTATTACACAAAACACTGTAAGAATTTTAATTTAGTACTACTTAACCTACTGAAGCAATTACGATCATACAGTTATTATTAGAGTGAATCTAAGGTGAACAATCCATCATAGTATAAGCCATTTTATAACAGCATGCTCCTCCAGTATTGAAAAAATGTGTGCAATTTTTACACATTGACTCACAAAGTTCGGTTACGCTTAACTGTTTATTTTTATCCAGCAACAGTGATAGGTACTTGCAAAAAGACTTTTTATACCACACCTATTTTCACACAAACTGAACACTGTAATAATAGCACAGTTAGAGTGGCATAAATAGAAAAGGCCTTAAATCTGCCTTTCAGTACACAAACACAATTACACAACACACACAATTTTTCCTCTTGTTGCTGCCAAGAGAAAAAACTCAATCGGAAGCAGAACCCTAATTAGCTTAGCATACATGGAAAGAAATGTAGGCAATTTTGTACCTAAGATCTTAAAACAGATTAATGGGGTTTGAAATAGCCACAGAATCATTTGCCTTAAATATTTATTTATTTGTATTGACAAAATATGAAGATGAATGTTTAAGACCCCCTTAAATTTTTTCATCATTTTTTTCCCCGTTGTTGATCACACATCCTTACCAGTATGATTTAACAATATACTTTTCTTCTTCTGGCTGCCATCTGGTGCCACAGTAAGTTTCACTCGCAGAGTTTTACTGGAACTAGGAGAATGGTTTACTGATGCATCAACTACCTCATAGATGGTATGAAGCAAGCTGGTAATATCCTATGATGGATTGAAACACAGACAGATACAATATTGTGAATATTGTGAAAACTGTATGAATCCAACCTCAATACTCAAGACCAGTTTAGGCCTGAGTCTTTTAAATGCTTAAATATCCTCAGAAGTCACTGAATTCAGAAGAACTGATCTTGCACAGAACCTTGCATAAAAGGATAAATTTTTCTCATCTGTTAGCACCCACTTTTTCCCAACAGAGACTGTAAAGGATCTGACAGACACAGAAGGAATGATTCAAGTTGATCCATACTCTTTCTTCATCAAATGGTTAAGATTTCTGAAAGAGGGCAAACCAGATTAAAACAATAACTAAAATACAAGGTATTCAAGTTTCCAAAACATGATATGAATGAATGAAATTGTGTTCTGCCTTTATTTTCTTTTGGTTTCAGTAGAACTCAGGGATAATTATTCATTCTGCAGTAAAAACTGAGTTCACTTGACCAAAACAAATGCAGCAATTGAAGAAAAATTTGGACATTTTTACATCCCCAGTAAATCTTACTACTTGCTTTTTTCTTCTTGCATGCCTAACTGGACGATTATATAGAGGAAAACTAGTAAGAGATGTGACAGAACTGTAAACTTCAGGTTTGGAAGCAGCCTGTCTGTTACTCAACCATATCTGTACTGTGACCTAGCTTACTTTGCAAAATTTCTACCAGTTCTGAAGTTACAATTTTGAATAGCAGAGATTATCATTCCAGTCTATTACAGAACGTTCTTGTGAAATCTTTGAAGGCAATGAGGCATGAACAAATGCTGACATGTCCAGCTATATTGGAGTAAACACTAGCCATTTTCATTGTTTCAAACAGAAGAAACCCCCAGCAGAAACACCACTTTTGTAGCCAGAATATCACACAATCCTCATTATTTAACCAGGTTTGAAGGTGACACAGAAATACTAATTTCTGCTCACACAGTATTAAAGAAATACTAATTTATGGCCAGGACAAATGGTTTTACAGTAAACGATCTTCCAGCTCAATAGCCAGATTGAATAACTGAAGTACTAAGGACTGAACAGCAGGCCTCAAACTGAAGTTGACCACTACGTGAATCTCACAACCAAGCGTTATCAGTATCCAATCATTAGTGAAATATGTATGATCATTAGTGAAATATGTATCTTGAACAAAACATCTCATTTGCGAGAGATGTAGCTTAGATAAAGCGTTATAAGAATGCACAAACCTTTCCTTGTTTAGAAGTATAGCGTCAAGGCCTCCTAGCACAAAAACCTCCTTGGTTCCTCCTTAAGCCCTAGCCATGATAGAGGTAGAATCCAAAAAAGGAGAATGAAAGAATGAAACCAGATGATTCTGCCTAACTGTCCCATAAACTTGTTTGTTCAAAGACAGAAGCTGGACCTTCTTGTAGCAAAGTTGGAGACCTCACCTACGAGTGGACGCACTGCGTAGGACCTCCCAATTGCCAGGAAAGGCTCTCCAAATCCTCACTGCAACCAGGGCTCCCCAAAGGCTGCGGATCTGGATGATGGTAAAGTATTAGGGCAACTGGCGATGTACCTTTTCTTAATCACTATAATTGACCTTGTAGAGTAATGGAGAGGTGCTCTACCTTGTTCTGTGTTATTCTTGCCATATCATTTCACTTGTTCTCATTGCTTTAAGCGAACGTAAAAATAAACATAATAACTTGGTGTCTGTGACCTTTGTGCTGACCCCATCCATTGGCAGAACAATAACTAGATGCTTGAAGGTCCAGACTTTGTCTTAAGTTGTACGCTCTAGAATTTTTCTGCACTCAGAGAAGTTTCTCCAGATGTATGAGTTGAAGACAACATATTCATAAAAAGCTGTATTTTTTTTTTTTCACCACGAATCTCTAAATGGGCTGTTACTGCCATACCAGTAGTCACTTCCCATTCCCTTGACAAGAATCACTGTCTAAAGTCTGAATGAGGAAGACTGCTCAGTGACAATCTAGCAGTCACGTCACAGCTCTTTAACACATCTCACTCCTCACACATCCACCTTACTCTGAAATGTAGCCAGACACATCTAGATAGACGCAGTCATATCTGACAGCTAGCTAGAAGGGCTGAGTTTTTATTTCAGCTAAAAGAAAAATGCAGCCAGTTAGGAACAGACAAACAAAATGCATGTCTTCTATATACTCTCCATAAATTATGTTTTAGAAGCTTTTTGTTAGAATCCTACACCTCCACAAACCAAACCTCTTCTTTGGCAGAGCATTACAGCAGCACATTTATTGTTAATGGAGACTCACACACTCAGCACCTTGGGGAAATGGAGCTTTTCCCATACATTCCTTAACAACTGTTGGTTAGCCAACAGGGCATCTTTCTATGCAAAACTATTATCAAGAGATTATTATCAACTCTTTCATTCACAACAACCTATTTCCCTCCCTTTTTCCAGCTACACCAGGTGTTTGTACAAGCTTATCATTTACTTTGTTTTTACTTCAATAGCAAAGCCGTCTTTACTCTCCACCCTTGTTTTTTGGTGATGAGGTTTAACTCGCTAATTGGCACACAGTCTGTCGCTCTTGTTCTGTGAGGGTCTGTCAAGCCACTTGACTCAGCAGTTTTAAAAGCACTCCCAAATGCTGGCAATGAAGGCCAGATGCAGTAATGTGTGACACATACTTGGCAAATCAGAAATATATGCACACACATCATATCAGGACAATTTGCACCTCACAGCCAAAAGGACATGGGTCAATCCAAATTAATGTCCAGGCACCCAGAAGTTTAAGAGGCTGCAAAAGGGATCAGGACACCTTGTGGCCATAGAGTCTGCTGCCTTAGCATTTCATTATGTGTTTAATACTTAGCTTCTTCCACAACAATCTGAACTGCTTTGCATTTTGGCACTGAATGAATGTGGTCGTTAGACTGGATATAAACCAAGATCGAGGTTAGGGATATCCATAAGTAACCACTTAATGCTTATGTTGATCTTTTGAATACCAACAATAACATTTTTATTATAGGATTCATTTACTTGTGGTCCTAGTTTGGGCTTGAGAGTCTTAGCAAACTGACAGTTCTGATTTGGTCAACAAACCTGCTTGGGTCATTCACTGTTCCACCATCTATCACAGTCCTGGCTGAGGAGGTACAAACTACAAGGCAACTTGAGCCTTGTGCTGCTTTCCAGTTGGTGCTTCACTTCCAAATTCCTTAGGTGCTGATCTGGTAGGAATGAGTTTTGATCTGTGTCTGAAACTATCTTCTAGCCTTTTTTGGGCAACTAAAACGGTAATGGCATCTGCCAAATCAGAGACCATTACAGTATGTTACAATAACTGTGTTTCACAGCTATGCCTGTATTTACCTCCAAAATAATTGTAATCTTCCAGAAGCCTCATGGCAGATGGGGGAGACTTATGCTCCTCTTGAAACCTGTCCCACTAAACATCATCTATATTTACATTTCCTAAAGAACTGCTTAAACCCATGGATGAAGCTTTAACTTGTACCTGCCAGCTTGTGCATTTCACCATCGAGAAATTCAGGGCCAAGAATCAAGAATAAAACCCAGTGAAATTTCCCTCTCCTCTGGCAGGCTGATCAACACGACCCAGGATCATCTACCAAAGAATCCAAAGAACACGCTTTTCCACACAGCGTATCACCGTGCTTGCCAGTCACATGATTTTACAGCTGCTTTCCTTAAGACCGTTCAGCACCTCCAGCACAAAGTTCCAGCCCACGTCTCAAACATCTGTGTTTTTTACATGAAAAATAAACATTTTTTAGCGTTTCCCAAAAATATGTTTTTTGTGCCGAAATGTGCTTTTAAACAATTTCTACTTAAAAATCATCGTGGATTTATAATCTAGTATTTTAAACAGTAAAGAGAAATGAGAACAAGAAAGAAAGATCTCTCTTCTTTATAGCAAACCAATTGTATTTAGTGGGGCTGTGCTAATCCAAATGACTTCTGAAAGGTTGCAAGTGTGCAGTATTTCTGCTGGGATAGCTATTTTAATCAAGTAAGAAAGCTGAAACTGTGATAATTTTCCATAAAGAGAAAAACAAAGGCTTTTTGGGTAGTATCCAAACAACTAGCAAATGGCATATTCAGATTTAATTGTGTCTTGCTTATTGAGCACCACAGTTGGTTTTTCCAGGGCTGAAAGGTTTAACAGTGTTAAATCTTTGTTTCTCAATCTATTTTTTCAAGCAGCTACTAACAACAATGCATATTAAAGAGAGAAACTTTAATAGATAGCTTGAAATTCTTTAGATTTCAATTAGAAATACAAAGAAACATACAGTATAGGCCACACATGTATTGGTGCACTCACACATTTTTCTGCAGAATTCTTTACTGATCTCCACTAGGAGATTAACAGGAATTTAGAAACTTCAGAGAAACTAGTGGGTCAACAGAAAAAACAAGAGCAAATTATATTTAAGTATTCTTCCTTCCTTATACAACTCAAGTTGTTTAGCAAGTCCTGATTCCCTGTTTTCTTTTTTTGCTTCTAATTGCCACTGCTAGTCCAGTGTTGCCTTTGACTCAATTCAAAATGAAAACAGAAAGCATTTTTTCTTAACATTTCTCTCTTGTGCAAATCCACCAATTTAAGGGGCTGAAATGATGACCCCTCAAATACAGACAGACATGACTCCTCTAACTGTTGGTCCAATTGTTGCTTTTTTACCATGAGTTAATGCAATGGTCACAGAGAGAAAAACAGCTAATTTCAAATGAAGGGTCAAGGTGACAAATGCTAGCCCCAGAAAAGCCAGTATCCTTCCCCAGGTCAAAGATTCGGTGCTAAGTTCTGAATGCAGAAAATACCTCATGCTTTTTCACTCATAGGAAGATACAAGCAAAAATAACAAAGCAAAAAAAAAAAAAAAGGAAAGAAACAGAAAAGAAAATGGCATTTAGTGTAAAATACAAAGAACATTTTCAGCATTAAAAATGTATGAAGAGAAACATCAATATCAGTTCATTACCTTTCCTTCAGAAAAAGGAAAAGTACAAATGTCTTATCTGTACCTTCTTTGTAGTCTGATTTTTACATACAGCAGGATGTTTTTGTTGCAACATCAGCTTTGTTTGATCATGTAAATTTTTGAATCGTCCTTATTTGGATCTGAAAGGAGCTTCACTTGCTATCTATTGAACAACTAGTCTAGAATAAATTCACACATTTTTTTAATTTTTCTTTTTCACTCCAGACGAGCAACTTTTTTGGAGTGCTTATGGCTGCAGCTATTCACAAAGCAATGATATTTTCCAAGAAAGAACTAACTGCAAAAAAAATGCTCCATGTTTATGAAGTATAATTACACGCACAGAGCTCAGCATAAAACCTCATGGATCAAAACACATTAGTTCAATTATCCAAGTTTCAAGTCCGATTACAAATATCCATATGAAGATAATTATAGTGCAGCTGTCAGTTCTAAAAAGACCTGCGGTACATAATGAATTGTCCTCTGATGGTCTATGGAATGAAGGGAAACGTTATTAGCCAACTTTTGTCATATACATACTAGAATAGGAAAAATGATCTCTCAGTGCACCAAAAGGACTGAAAAATGATCATCTTCTAAGACAGAAAAAACACTGTTTTGAGAACAGAAACTACTGCTGATTTTCTAATTTGCCGTCCCAATAACTGTGCTTCCACGGCTGTGTCCCTTCAAGAAGTGTGACTAGATGTGGGTTTCTAATTAGAAAGACTAGGGAATAAATCAGAAAACTCTAGAAGGAAATTAAAGCAGTATTAAGTTCTGAAAATGTTAAGATCCAGAATAAATTTCACTAAGATGGAATTTGAATGCTGTTGTCGTGGTGTAAAACCCGAGGGAAACTTTATCCAGTAACTGAATCCATCTCTTATTTACAATTTTCAAACGTTTCCACGAATAAGGCACGCAGTCCACTTGCAATATCGCACCCCACCTACGTGTCTCTTACAAACTTCATTTTACACCATGTATCCTTTAGAAACTCTCTGGGCATGAATTCCAAGGTTTTAAACAACACATTTGAATCAAATGAAGTGGATGTGGGCAGACAAGTCACTTCCTTCTCTGGTGCCTCGCTTTTCCAAGAAGAAAAACAAGGATGATAACACCGATCTCACTTTTTAAAGCACATCAAGATCTACAGATAGAAAACTAACAAGAAATTTCATCTCACTACTTAATCCCATCATAAATCCAGGAGACAGTCCAGTGAAATTTTCCAAGATGGGAGAAGGAGCACACTAATCTTTTCTCAAAAGAACACTGGACCTTTGTTCAGAAAAGCTGACCAGCTTTGAAAGCATTTTCATCACTGAATGGCATTGCTACAACTCAGTTCTCTTCCTCAGACTGTCCGTTCTGTTGCTGATCCAGCAATGAGCCTTGCACACTTAACTCAAAGCATGTGTCCCATTCACTTTAATTGAAACTGTTCACATTTTTAGCATTCACCATTGTTAAGCCCTTTGCCGGATCAGGAGCAGAACTGTTTAACAGACCACAGGATCAAGTTCTGCTATGTTGAGTGTCGGTGTCTCAGAACCTAATAGAACAAGCAATTCTATATCATATGAAGAGACAGAAACTGCTCTTTTGTGGATGAGATGCTATCATGAGTCACTCTTGCATAAACAACTCTTAAATCACATCTGGATTCAACAAAGGAAAATCAACCAAGATCTTTTCTACAAATGACAAAAGTAGTACATAACAACTGGAAAACTGCAATGGTGCATACTATTAATTACTACCTTCAGTCACATGAAAACAATTGAAAATTATCAACCTAGTTGGACCCTTGGTTAAAGGAATTTTTTTTTGGCACAGGTTCTAGCAACCTCCAGACCTCAGCATGGTATAATTTTCAATCTCTGCACAGATTTTGTTTCAGTTAAGCTGCAGCCTGCTCTTGACCAGGGAGAAGCAGAATTTGGCTGTAACATATTCTGTAAGTACAGTCAAATTAAGCCCTTTGGTGTACCACATAATCACAAATAATTATTGTATGCATACTTAAAAGCATATTCTCATTATGTTCAGCACACGGAACTCCCACTAATGTTAATGGGAATTCCATGCCTGAATGTAAAGGACACCCATGTGTGTGGGTTTTGGCTCTGCTGTGTTTTGTGTTTCTTCCCCTTTCTTGACAGTTCAGGGAGATGACTTAGCCTTGGGTCTCAAAGGATCGCAGTTCAATCTGCCACTACGTTCTCATGAGACTTCAGGCAAGTTACTCCTCTGCTGCCAGTTCCATACATTAACAAAGACAAAACCTTTTTTTCTTTTTTTTCCTCCTTTCTTCTTGCCCCCCTCTCTCTCACTATAGCTTATGTTCTCATTGAAAACTGGAGTTGGCTGCAACATTGTTTCTGTTTATTGTCTTGTATGAGGGGCACAGATTTTATTTGACCATTCAAACCACTACCAGAGTAGAGACAACAAAAAGCTAGAAATGATGCTCACGCACACGTTAAAAACCTTGAACCACTGTATTTAGCTATTCATTCATAAATGTCAGAAAAGATTTGCTTTAGTCTTCTAGGCTTTTAGATTTCTGCCCTTTACTTCGTGATCTAATGTCAGTACACTTTCTGTATTACCCCACTCCTTTCAAACATTTCTTAGTAATTGTCATAGATTCCAGCACACATGTGCCCACAAAGACAAACTGTCAATTTTCAGCTGATTACTTAAAGGCCTGGGAGCCAGTAAACAGGTTGCAACAAAAACCAATGACAGCACAATATGGAAAATCTCAATAAAACACACTCTTCTAGAAGTTTCATTCAGCCTGGATGGGAAAAAGACCATACTCTAATCTACACAAACTTTTATGTGGCCTCTTATTTTCTCACGACATACAACTTGAAGACATCCTGATAATACAAAAATACACACAGGTCTGCTTTGATAGGCATTCATCCACTATGGAACTGCAGCAAGTATCATCAACGCTATTTATACTTGGAAAGAGAAAGCAAAGATCAGCCTAACATTCATGAAAACAACAGAACAGTATAGTCAGTCCTACTGGAAAGAATTTCAGAAAGCAACCTTGCTATTTGGTTAGCTTAACTCTGAAAAGCAGGATAGAAGCCAGAACAATATACATTTGCAGGGGTTTATTTTGACAATGTGTTTAGTTGTTCAGTTGCTTCAGATATTTTTCCCCTCCAAATGCCAGCACTATTTTTTAAAAGGCTAATCCCAGATATTAAACAACAACCAGCTTCAAAAGTGGTACAGTTCATCTTAAAACAGTAAGCTACTGGTGGGATTGTTCCTAGGAGGGAAAGGTCCAAGGAAACTGCTGTTTAAGTTGGCAGGATGCTTCTGTTTCATAGAAGAAAAAATGTTCCTGTTATAAAACACTTCTCTTGCTAGCAAATGCTGCACACAAAGGGGCAGCTGTACTGTGCTTACCTCACGTGTGACTCTTCCGTTGTTATCAAAGTCATACAGTGTGAAGGTCCATTCTTGCCTGTTATCTTCCTCTACAGACACATCACATTGCAATTCCTAAGAAACATGCAAAGAGCAGCTGATTACCTGAAGCAAAAGGCCTGTTTGCAGAGGAGACTGTAGAAGGAGGCTACTTGCTTTCTTCCTCCCTCCCTCCCTCCCTCCCTCTCTCATGGGAGGAAGCTTTCAGGATGTCCCAGAGAGTTCTCTGTCCACCACACAGAAGAAATCTCATCATAATAATATGATAATCTTAACTCCTTTAGGCTAGGCTTCCAGCAATCTGCAAGATACTACTTTCTACTTCAATGCAGAAAACACAAAGAAAGAAAACTGGTCCCTGAAGCTGTTAGAATATAATAAGGTTTCTCACTGAAAAGTGAGAAAGAAAACTCTGCTTAAGTCAGGAAGAGAAAGACAACAGAAACAGTCACAGTATGATGTAGGACACCACAGCCCCAGGAGCGGTCATTAATACAAAAAGGCACAAATCCCCACCAGTGAGACCCGTCAGATGCCTGACACCCAAAGGCCACCAGCTGGTGCAGCCCAGCAGGGTGCCACGAAGCTCCTGAAGCAGAGCCTGCCCAGGGGCTGGCAGGTAGCAGCAAGCAGGGAGCCTGGCCCTTACCGAGCCGTGCTTCTGCTGGTGAGCATGACTCGGGGAAAGCCTGAACGAATCAATTTGTCCAAGGAAAATAATCCCCAAACCAAAACCAAGCCTTCAGTCAAGAACAAAGGATGCACTTTGACTGACTTCGGTCACCTGGGTGCAAAGGGTTTGCTTTCTCTCAAGACATGTGCAATTAGAATTATCCAGAGCCACAACAATACAATACAAAAAAAGTTACAGTGCAATTAAAATGAAAGCCGCTGTATACAAGTAAAATAAACAGCTCCGAATAGCTTCAGCATGACAGAGCTCAAAATACCTGGTTGATCTTCTGACTTGAAACCAATTCCCTACAGCAGTTACCCGTCTCCCTGTCCCCTGCTGAGTTCAAAGGCAGTCTCCTCTCGGTTGTAACAAGCCCGGCTGAAAGCTGCCAAGTGCCCCACACTCTACTGTGGAAACACCGTTTCGTATTACACAAACATTTCCAGCAACTTTAAAAGCCAAATCGCGTTCACCTCACATTTAGACCTCTTGTCTGAGCACTCGTGTTTCAGATTCTTTTACACCTTTCAAACATTTACCAATCTCATAGCCCCTAGCTTACATAGTTAGAAAACTTTCATTTCTAGAACAAGGGGAAAAAATATCAATACTTGGTTCCTTGCCACAGATTAATCCTTCTCTGTCCCACATTGCCTAACATAACATCTTTATGTGAGGATGTGCTCTGCTTAGTTAAGAGCCATGGCAATCTTCCCTGCATTAGTCATGGAGCCTGGTACCAAGTGCTAACCTTTATGGCATGCCAAGAACTACTTGGGAACAAACACAGACTTTGCCGGAATGGTGCAGTTCCAGCTATACTGGCACCAACCATGTTGACAGGTGTCCTCCAGTGTTCAAATATCAAGGCACTGTTAATTGCAATTTATCATGCCTTTCCTGTCTGCAACTGTCTGCTATTCAAAGGAGAATATAAAGTGTGCCTACAAAAAAAGTTATCGCTTTGCAAAAAAAAGGCAGGAAAGTCACCTCCCCCCAGAAGGCACACCAGCACTCGCAATAGCTGAGCTGCCTCCTTTTAATCAGCCTAAAACAGTAAAAATAAATTGTACCAGACTACTAAGCCTGCTCTGGAGAAGGAAATGAGCACCCAGCCATGCTGCAAGGTGGCTGCGTGGTCTTTTAAATAACAATTGAGGAACGCAAAGCTCATTACTGTGACAGGCTGACAGCACTGAAAGGTAGAAATCTGCCATGTCTGCTGGAGCGCAGAGAGATGAAAACTCGTGCTGTTTCTTGCCAGTACCAGAGTATCTTTCTGCTCACCAAGACAGACAACCCTCTAGCTGGATGACAGCACGTTTCAATACTCATATTTATTAAATTGCTCTCTATACAAACAAAACCTGCCAACTGCTCACAATGTCTGGCAGTTTTTGTATGTCTGCAAGAAAACAGACCATCCGACTTATTGCCCCCAGGATCCTCTTCCTCCTGCCATCTGATCAGGTGGATATCCACTGGAGCATGAGGGTCTTTTCACTTCTGAGCCCAGCACAGGAGGCTGATGGATAAGGAAGCTTTCACAAATATCTTCCACATCAAGAAGATTCAACCAAGTGCAACAGTCCACACAAGTCAATCTCATAAGATCTCATAACACAGGAGGTGGCATAATAAATTGCTTCTAAAAGGATTGCAGATAGAGGATCAAAATGAACACCTCTTCTTATTGTACATTTCAGAGCCTACCAAGGAATCATCATATTCCATTTAAACCTGGAAATAAAACATACTAATCTAGAAGACCAATATCACCAACAGTAAGACACTGAGAATTGTACCATTTATACTCCACCCTTTACCTATTATCATTGGAAAGAGCTATTTATATACATGCACTGTTTGATCTACAAGCTATTTTTCTACCTTAATTATGTCACTACAGTGAAACTTTACAATACAGAAAACTTACTTCAAATTTTAGTTGCTTCTTGGAACCTGTGCGTGTGTCACTTTCTTTTTCTGCTTTCTTTTCATCTCCACTGCAAACTCCATCTGTCTTCTCTGGAGGCAAAGCCACTGCAAAAAATATATTTAAGAAAAAAACTTTTATAAGGAAATGTCAAAGCAGTCATATTTGCAAATTTGTCATCATATATAGGGTGAAATTGATTTCAGCAAACCTGTGTGAGAGGATCATTATACTTGATTTGCTTTTGTGTTCACTTCACATCTAGAATAATTTCAGCAGACAATCTAGCAACAGCTTTTGGCACACAGACAGTCCTACAAATATCACTAGAGTCACAGGAGGTTCAAACAGAGTATTATGAAAATGTAAGTCAGCAGAACTGTTATTGTAAATAAGTTGAATAATTTTGCAAAATATTCTAAGTATGTGACATGTTGCCAGACACATTGCATTCACCAGCAGTGACTGGAGTAGTGAAGCTGAAATGAAGTCCTCTTTCCACTCCAGTTTCCCTCTTCAAATACACATGAACCTTAAAAGGTAACTATAACCTGCCAAAATGGTTAAAGCTGTGGCTTCTTCAAAAATATGTATGAAAAAGCACATTCTGAGTTAAAACTTTCACACTTATGTGATTTGGTAGTACTCACAAAAAGCATCAAAATATTATCAGCTATCAGACACATATCACAGTGTATCAGCAGGACACATCCACTTCTCAAGCAGATTAAGAGACAAATGTCCAGGAACTTAGTAGCTGTACCTTTGCACCTACAGAGGAACTCGGCCCTGCACATGATGAAATTCAATATGAAGAAATTTAATTCTGTATACATTAGAGTTATGAGAATATACCCAGATTTTCAACCCTACTCTGGATCTTTTTACATATATTTTTTTACATCCATATACTTCTGCCAACAATGCTATGGCCATACCTCATTAAGCAGAGCAGTAATTCTTCTTTCTCCCCTCCAAATAAATTAGAGGAGACTGATAGACTGTGGACCTCCAAGTCAGTACTTTTCTCTTGTGCTGCAGCTCTTGCATGCAAAAAAACCCCTTCAAATTAACCTTCCCTTAAGATTATACTCTCAGAAATTCCAAAAGCTAGCATTTCTGCCTCAGCAGTCAGACTGCCACACTGCAGACATGGACTGCATTATACACATACTCACACACTGATAGGCTTTGATTTCTACTTCATGTTTGGTTTCTCTACACCAAACACAGCTAACTGGGAGGGTCAGCTGAAGAAAAAGAAAGTTCACATCATGACAGTTTGTTTCCTTGCCCACTTGATTTGGTACTATCAGATGAGCAGAGATTGTTTATTATGAGGTTTTTGTAGAGTGCTTACCAAAATGAAGGCACATATGATAAACATTATGTGCATACAGAACTCCGGAGTATATCTGAAGGACCACATGTTTTATAATCACTTTGCCCATAAATGCAACTCCAGATTCCTGGAAATTCCTAGCTATCCCCCCATCCCCCCCCCAAAAACACACACACCAACAACATCACAGAACAAATAAAAAAGGACGTTTGGTTATCTCTCCTAAGTCAGTGCTTTTATTCTAAAAACTCTGGGAAATGAAGATGTAACGCGGGCATTCATAACTAGCAGTTATATAACAGTGGCTCTTCCTTTCATTAAATGCGTGCCGGGATTTTGAGTGGCTGCTTTGTATCAATGACCAACTCCCCACATGGACAGATTTAACTAACCTAACCGAAACACTTGCATGGGGAACTTTTACAGTCTCTCACAATCTGGCTCTAGAGAACGTGAAATAAATGAAATCAAGTCTGGTTTGACCCTTAGCTTTGTTGGAACACTGGACAACCAATTGAAGAAAAAAATCCACCTCATCACAATTACCTTTAAGTGTACAAGGATATACATAATGTCCAAAAGACCTCTATCGGGGTCTTTTATCTATCAAGAGACAAGCATCCGAAATCTCAGCATCTCAGACTTTGGGCTAAGAGAACTGAGGAGCAGATCCTGCACAAGGTGACTGTTCCTTGCCCCAGTGCTCTGTTTATATATGGATTTTTTTCTGTTGAAGCATCTTACAGAGCAGTCACAACTACTCTTTTGTGCTGCACTGAAAGCTACCTGCGTGTGCATGGAGCACCAGAGCTCTCCAGGCCATGGGGTTTTTCAGAGAGAAACGATGCCAAGGGCACAGAGTTACCTTCTGGCTTCAGAACAGCCCTTTCACTGGCAAGTTTAATAAACCTTCTGGATGTACAGTATGCGTGTTCAGATAGGAAGCTTTCACTTTAATGTATAATTTATGTAACAGAGGAAAAATGTGCTCTGACAAATTAGTCTTCTCAAAAAACAAGAGTTCAACTATTGGGAAAGGAAGAAGATACTTCTTGCAGTACGCTCCTTGAGAGAGTTTAAATACTGTATGCCAGAAATTATCCTCTTTGAGCTTTGCTGACCTTTGATCTGAAGAACTCATTGGCCTTGCTGCTCCAGGGAATTATCCTTTGAAATCAGTTATTCATTTTGGAGCTCAGATGAAATAGGGAAATCTGGTGATCTCATCCTGATGTCAAGTTTCATTCAGCATAGAAAAATGAAGTCTAAATGAGGAAATTTTAAAGGAGAATATGGAGGTATTAAAGTAATATTTATGAGTGATCAAATAATGTGTCTGCCTGCACATCCTTGTGTGCCGTATCCAAATCCAATGAACATATAAAAAATATATAGATTAGAATACGACTGTTTTGTCCAAGAAGCAAAAATACTTGGTATTTTGCCTCTGTACTTAGTTTCAACTATTAACATGCTGTCAGTTTCATGAAGGATACAAACACATGCTGAACCTACTTAGAAACGAAATGAGAATGTCTTCCTGGGACAGTTGAAACTGGCAGTCTTTAAACAGAGATCCACCAGTGAGCTGCATGCCAAGGTTCAGCTGTATTCACAATGTGAACTTCCTTTCAGCTCTGCCAATGATATCAAATGAGACCAGACAAGATTGCTATCTCAAAGGAGCATGGAGAATTAATAGACTGGTGTTTCCAAATTCTAGGTCATCAAAAATAGGTCCACATACAAAATATCTGTGCAAAAATACCTACCTACCTCCCCACTCAGATAACAAGTCCTGACAGAAAGAACGCTCTGCATAGATTCATATGCTGAGAAGCCTACCCTTCTTGTTGTGGGAATCCACAGCCAGAGAAAAAATATATATATTTATTGCTTCTTGTGGGAATAACCATATGCTCTCAGAAACAATGTTCCCTAACAGAATGTTTCATGAATTGAAATACTGCATATGTTTTCTTTATGATGTTCTCTTTTCTTGTTCATTATTAATGGTCTTGTATTCACTTCTATAACCTTAAGACACTATAAAAATGCGTCTGGACAATATTTGAAATTGGAAAGACAATAAAGGAAAAATATTAACTTGGAAAAATTGTGAAATACCATTCTTTCATGAAAAACAAACTGACTGGCTTAAGTGTACTAGCAGATGTTTCTAAGATTGTTAATTACTACCACACAATTGCTCATAATTGAGGGAGGGAGGAAGAGAGGAAGAGAATGAGCACCAGTTTAAAGGTATAAAGGCTTATCCTTGAAGAATTAAGTCTTTTTTTTTTCAAAGATTTATTCATTTCTATGAAAAGGAATAGGTAATAATTTCAACTAACAATAATCCCAGATTGCTGTGCTGAGTGCACTGAGTATCGAATACAAGCAGCGAAAGCTTTCCTCCCTCACTTCCACCTTACATCTTAGAATAAGAGGGGGAAAAACAGAGATCCAAAATTGGGCTGCACTCAGGTCAAAAAAGTGAGTTCAAACTTTCACTCAGGTGGATTGCCATTTCAGAGCTCTCAAAATGTCATTCGAGCAAAGCACCATGCTTTGTAGCAAATTATCTTCGTCAAAGTAAGGGCAACTTCACTCTGTTTTTCAACAGTACTGAGCATTTTAATCAGCAGGATTAGGAAGATCTTGTGGCCAGAAATAAAAAAGGATGCAACTGTGATGAATGCTCATGTCTAAGTTACAGCTACCAAGGCAAAATTTACAAAGCAGTTACGAGAACCCAGGCTAAAGACCAACTACTTCAGAGCCTACTTGGGATGACAGCCATTTAGAAAGGTATTTGATGGATCACAGGCCTTAACTCTGAAAGCAGAACTATGGGAGATGCTATGCAATTCCACAGTGATAAATTATGACTGGATGTTAGGTAACTATTATCTTAATGTCAGGGTCATTACTGTGTAATTTTTGAGAGAAAGCAGAGCAAAGGTAAAATTGGAGAATTGACAAAAATGCCACCTATGAAAGTCAGCATCTGGTATACATGAGACAAAATCTTTTGGAGTAAAATATTATTAGACTTCCCTTCAAGTCTGACAGATTGGATTCTAAGCAATTCTTTAATCTTGCAGAAACAATGGGACAGAATTATCTGTGCACAGGGGGAAATGACAAACCACTTCTAGAATCTGAGTCTTGTGAGGGAATAGACTGAAAAAAAGGAAAATTTTAAAGTGAATAGATAATATCAAGGCAAAGAAATGCAGTTCAGTAAGAATTCAAATGGAACCTCAGTAGCAGCATTTGACTGGTGGAACTGAATGTCAAAAAGTTGGTCCAAGTGAGCTCAGTAGTAAAATTCCTACTGACGTCAACAGGGCAAGGGTTTCACTTCCAATTTACAGATCTAGCAGACACAGCAGAACTCAGAGTCAGACAATGAGGACCAAAGAAAGAGAATTAACTGTGTTGTTGTTCCTGAAGCCTCTGATGTCTATATTACCTGGGCCTGCCAACATATTTTTCATTGCAAATCAGGTTTGACAAACATAACTGACATTCTTCACGGGCTGCACAAGAACCAGAGGAGTAACAACTGTTTGATAGTTCTTGAGAAGTCCTGTAGTTAACAATTAAACTCACATTCAGATTTCATTTTCAGATTCTCTTGGAGGCCAGGAATTAAGAAATATCATCCCCAATAAGCACACATGTTGGTTTTATTCCATAGGAGTTGACTGAAATACATTGCTGGTGGAGATAGCTTTACTTGAGCGAAGGTCCTCTTCT